GAGGCAGGCAGGCGAGGAGGACGGCGATGGCGGCAAAGGGCGACGACCACGACGAAGCGGAAGAGGACGACGAGGATGAGGCGCACCACGACGACGACGACGCCGACGACGACGGCGAGGAGGACGATGGCGAGGACGACGCCGACGACGACGACGACGACGACGACGCCGACGACAACGACGACGATGACGAGGACGCCGACGACGACGACGACGACGACGACGACGACGACGACGACGACGAGGGCGTGGGGCGCCTGGGGCGGCGCAAGGCTGCTGCGGCGGAGGTCCACGGGCCCGCCGTCGCCGCCCGGGGCCTGCGGCGGCACTGCCGCCCAGTGCGGGGGGACTTCCCGCCACCGCGGCGGCGGCAGAAACGACGAGGACGAGGACGAGGACGAGGACGAGGACGAGGACGAGGACGACGACGACGACGACGACGACGACGACGACGACGACGGCGACGGCGACGGCGACGGCGACGGCGACGGCGACGACGACGACGACGACGACGACGGCGACGACGACGACGACGACGACAACGAGGCCGACGACGACGACGACGACGAGGTCGACGGCGGCGGCGGCGACGGCGACGGCGACGGTGCAGGGAGCGCTGAGCTTTCCTCGCTACGAAAGAGGATCGGGGAGCGAAGCCTTCGGCTTCTCTTTGAGTTGCCCTGCTCTGAGCCCCCAGAAGCACCAAGAGGCATCCCAGGAGCTCCCTCCAGTCGGGGGCGTCCAAGGGGGGGGGCGTCCAAGAGGGGGGGTCGCAAATCATGGTCGGAGGCATGTGCGCGGACGGGGGGGGGCCAAGGAACGCAATGAATAAGAAGAGGGGGCATGAAAACTGGGGAGATGTCATGGCCCCCGCATGGCCCCGGCCATGATATCTACCCCCCCCCCTGTCATCACTCCCCTCTTGACCGGCCCCGATCCGTCCGCAGTCCTCCAAGGTTCAGGGCCGGGGCGGGGACGAAAACTTACGACGAGGGAGGAGACTGTCCCTTCCTCCGGCGGCGACGCGGACGATGAGGAGGAGGACGACGACGACGACGACGACGACGACGACGACGACGACGACGAGGACGACGAGGACGACAAGGACGACGACGATCGATGCCGGCGACGACCCCGCCAGACGTGCTGAGCGCACCTCCAGGACCGTCGCGCGGGAATCCCAAATGCTGGCACGGGCGCACGTGTGGGTGAGAAGGACAACGAGGAGGAGGACGAGGGAAATTATGAAGACGACGAGGAGGGAGGGCCGCGCGAAGCGGGACTCGTGCCACAGACCACTGCTTGCCAGTGCGCGTGCTGGAGACAGGCACCGAATCTCGGGGAGCAGGATCAGTCAGCATGGAAGCGGGAAATCGGATCGAATCGAAACGTGCATCGAATCGGGCTGAATCAGCACCAAGTCAAAATCGAATCGGATCGACCGCGCCAACATGCACAACAGCGCCATGCAACCATCGTCCCGCCGCATCGGATCCCCAGGAAATTGAAATGGAATCCGATCGAGCACAGCGAACTCGACATCGAGTTGGATCGATCGAGTCGACATGGGCCCCGGGGGGCCGAAGTGAAAGCGAGCAGCACCTCCAAAGCCACGCCAACGAGGCCCCCAAGGCGCTGGCACTGCCTGCGCGCTGCGCGACCCCGCGGCCCGCACCGCGCCACAACCACCCCCGCGCCCCTCCCCCCCCCCTGCGGGCGACCCTGCGGCCTCCAGGCCGCCAGCGACCGACCGACCCCTGCGCGGCGCGGCCTCCCGCCGAGGGCGCGCGCGGCAGCGGCGAGCGAGTCGCAAGCAGCGGCGGCAAGCGGCGGCGAGCGGCGGCGAGCGGCGGCAAGCGGCGGCAAGCGGCCGGCGCGCGGCCGGCGAACGGCGGCGCGCGGGCGGCGCGCGGGCGGCCGGCCACCCTTTGGGCGGCGGCGCCACT